GATGTGAGTACTTTCACATCTGTCATTACCTCGATCCAGGTGAAGTCCAGAACCTCTAAGCTAGAAGCCAAAAAAGGTAAACATCTTAAAGTGAGGAGCAGGAAAGAAAAACTGCTTAGCACCGACCTGCTTACTGAAACTACCCACAGGGCAGAAACCATAAATATGTGCAAGAATAAGCCAGGATCGTGGGATAAAGGCAAAGCTGCTGGGTGCTATGTAGCCTTTAGCTTATGCAGGGCCTTTTGTGTGAGCTAACTGAGGATTGTGTCTGTTTTGGGCTATTGACAAAGTTATGTCTGAGTGACGCAAACCCCTTGGACAATGTTCCGACATCCGGTGCAAAAATGGTCGATACATGTAGTCTGGTCAAAGAAACGTGAAGTCGTCTTTCTGGTAGCTAATCTTAAAGCTTGGACAATGATACCAAATCTACAAAAGCAGGAATCAAGGTGTTGCAATTATACAGTTACCCAAAAGGTTCAATTGAACAGAAGTAGCTGAATGTACAAAATTTGCTCCACACCAAAGTGAGAAAGCTGAGGTCATACTCCAGCATGGCGCTGCTAACAATGCTCCTACAGCCTGTTGAATCATCTCCGCAGGGTGTCTCATAACAGTTTACGTGTTTTTCAGTAAATTATTGGTGGACAGATTTGCTTTTAGGCTTTGCAACAATTGAACCGACTTTAAACGTGATCCAAATCTGGGATTTGTGCCACAAGATGATTAACACCCTTTGGTCATGATTCAAAAACTAAAAAGGAAAAAGAAAATAAATAGCTTGAGAACAAAAAAGTTTGAGTTTTAAAAGGGCACTTAGCGCATGTAGCTCGCGTCTGAGGTGTTAGGTGTGATTTAGCTGTGTGGAAGTTGGAGAGTGATTTTGCGTTTGGGTGTTTTCTTGGTGGAAAGAGAGGAGGGATCTTACATACCACAGTGTTTAAACTTTCACTTTTAGCCAAAGCTGTGAGTGTGATGTAAGAGCTTCGCTCGCTGTTACCTGAGTCAGGCCTGTTTACACACCAAGAAGCTTCTTATCCTCTTGACTGTTAAGACTACGCAAACATATGCATAACACGATTGCCTAAAAACAGCTGAATGAAAAGCATGCAGTCTTTCATCAGTCTGCCACCTCACTCAACACCATTTATACCTGTGTCACATTCAAATTGTGCTGAGAAGCACTCCCACATTTGGCTGTTTGAGTGGGTAGCATTTGGCCGCTGAGCCGTGGACATCTTCACACCCACCCTTCTTATCTTTTTCTCTGGATATGCAGTAATGCCAGTTACCGTGTGAGTGGGCTGGTGCGGAAAAAGGGGGAAAGTTGGCCGCAGCGGCATTCGCCGTCGGCCCACACAGAATTATTCCATGTGATGATATAAATCTTATTTAATGATGTGATAGCGGGCAGGTTCTGCCAGCCGCGATGAAAGGAAGCGAGGTGTCCGCCGCATGCACCTGGAGAAGCGAAGACCTTTCAGGGAGTTGGATGTGTTCACAACCCAGGAGGTCTATCTTTGCTAGAGAGGGTGAAAGCCATGTCCACACACTGCCTGTGTTTATAGCAGCCCAACACCATCCGATAATTTGACTTTTTGAACACATGGTTGTCCTAGATTCTTATCTGCTGTATTTGTGAGCAGGCTATAACTCTGGAGGGAGAAAAAACAGGTTTTCACTGTCTGCTAGCAGCTGATGGCAGATGATCCATTTTACCTGCTGATAAATTGTGATTAGGTGATTAGGAATTTGGAGGATGAAACTCCAGAGTTATTTTAGTACCAGTCCGGCCGTGACTCTTGGTTGATTAAATACCATCTTGTCTCGTCCTGTTTTCAGCCTGGAAGCGCTGAAACCTTGCAGATTTCTTCTGCTTTTTGCTTTTTTCATCCTCTTTCTCAGTCAGCCCTGGCCAGACTCGTCTCCATTAACATCACCATATTTTGGGAACACATCAGCGGTTGTACAAGCCGGACCTGATCGGGTATTGCAAGTGATTTTCTTGACAGCAGATCGGATTTGTTGATTGTCCTTTTGATTTACGTCAATAACAAAATCTCAACCTCTATTTTCAGTCCCAACAAGACCATAAAAGTTAGTGAGACGACGAGCTGCAAATCCATAACTCTGTGATCAAACCTTGAGGTTCAAGTCTTTTAATGTCGATAAAAGATTTTGGAGAAAGTTGACATCCGAGGATACAAGATCTTGATGAAAAGTGATGTAATGCCAGATGAAAATATCAAGAAGTTTATTTTAGCAATGCCACAGCAAATGTGCCATATAGTTTAAATGCAAAATGAAGTTTTTGAATGATGATTTCATTCATTTGAGAGTTATCCCTATCCAAAGTGCAGCTGTACAGGCACCCCTAAACCATTGCTTTATTCTTACGTTTTTTTATAGGCGCTTCCAAGTCTTACTGCTTTTATTTGGATGATTATTTGCTTTCTTTTTCTAAAGTTGCTATCTTCAGATTCAACTTTTTGTTTGTGTAGTATTCCAATAAACGCCCAACACTCTTTAATTACTTCTACTTGCAAATGTATTGAGTTTCATTTTTCTTTCTTTCGTGTATAAATTCAGATTTTTTCCCCCGTCAAGTCCATATCTCAGGGCTATTGTTTCAGATGATTTCACACCAAGCATAACTCGTGTAGGTAATGATGATGGCGGTGCTTTCAGTAACCACAACAAAAACATTTGCATAAAAAAAACAGGATAGTGTCAACTAATTATGCTGCATTAGGATGTTGCATAGTAACTCCGCGTGAGCAGATCTACTTCATTATTAGTTGTTTGTTTTTGCGTTGTGCGTTTTCTGCGGCTGCTTCATTGTGAAGCGAACAGAAAGCAAAGGTAATAAGAGGACATGAGCACAGTGGAGGAATTATCCTGCAGCAGGTGCATCTTCTGGATATTTCTCAAGGCACACATGGAGGATTAGCTGCTTTACACCCACAGATGCACACACACACAAGTGTGAATCACTGCCTCTCACACATGCACACACAACTTCACCGTTCGAGATATGTTGATGGAAAATGACGGATGTTTCATAAGCAAAACAAGGGTTTTTTTTTATTATCTCAGCGCCAATGCTGTTAGATTTGACTCAGCGTTACCGCATTGTCATGTAAGTGCTATATTCAAGCTGTAGTTACACAACTCAATCACTTTTATTGCATCTTAAAACCTAAAAATATCAATAAAGCACCCCCACTGCTTCAGCATACCGCTCTTGGAGGAAGGGAAAAAAAATGCTATGCTCTGTCAACCCAAATCCAGCTTTGGAAAGCTTCAACTCCCACCTCTCCAATTCAGCTTTCTCGACTCATCCTCCTCTTCACACTCCCACTCGCACTCATAATCCATAACGTTTTGTTTCGCTGCTACACCGATGACATCCAGCCGAATTTCCCACAGAAACCCAATGAGCCGAAAAGCTTCCTTTGCTCCCTTCGGTACAGGACGTTCTCGAACCGGCGAGAAAGGAGACAGTTTTTAACTGGCCGTTCCTCCGATTAAATCACAACATACATTCTTTCACTTAATGTGCTTCATGGCTACTTTTGTTTATTATTGGCTTAAAATTCCTGGATTTCTGCTTCGTTATCTTCAGTTTCAAGGGAAATAATTGATTTAGAGGTGACTTGAGGACTGGGAGTGACATTTGTGGGAATAATGCAATCAGGTTTTTGTGTTTTCAAGCAAGTCATGCAAATGTCAGCAACTTAAGAACAGAAATTTTCAGCCTCCAGATTTGGACTTTGATTTTATAGTTAAATTCAACTTAGAAACTTGATATTTGTCTTTACTGACATGCAGCTATCAGTATTTAGCTTAATTATTTGGTTTGTTTTGATTTGGCTATAAAAATGTGGATTGTAGCACCACCTTGTGGTGACTGGCAGGTAAAGCAACAAGAATTGATTTTTTAAATTTTTTTTTTTTTAAGTTTTTTGGCGATGTTAATTTTTTTCACGGTAATTTAATCGGAAGTGGGCTGATGGAAAATCGGGGAAGATGTGCAGCAATTATGGGGAATCGTACAGAGCGCTAACGCTACACGACAGGAATAATGAAGCTAAAGTCTCATTTTTTCAGGCTGGCATTAACACTCCAGCACAGCTATCTCATACTGTCGAACCAACCATTATTATAGATTGTGCGTCTTTTCTTGTTACTTTAAAATTAAAAATGTGTAAAAATGAGTCACTCGTTTGCTAACTAAGAAAGTTGCAAGTTCATTTGATTTCCAAAACGAAGTTAATCAAAGAAATCCCTTTTACATTTGTGATTCAGGTGTGTAACAAAACAAACAAATCCATGTATAGATTATTCCCATTAAAATGATGAATAAATCTTTCCGCCGTGATGACAAAAGCCAGAGTCGTGTATAAACCGAACCATTAGGAGGAAAATAATTATTAGGGGAGGTATTTTCCTGGTGTTGTGATTGCAGGGTCATTATGCTCTCCCTAATGAAACAAACCAGCGGAGAGCCTCCATCTCGACTGTAGCCGTTATCATCACCCTTCAGAGAATGTAAAAAGGAAAACACTCCAGCAGCAGGCTAATTAAAACCAGAGAGGTCTGGATGAGGAGGCCAAACAGCCCACACAGGTGGCGCGCACATCAATGTGTGTGTAAGGCACTGCCCTGCATCATGTTTATGCATGGTCTGTGTGAGAGTGGGTGTGTGAGGAAGCAATTCATGCTTTTTCTTCTGTTATTATTACGAGTGGGTGTGTGTGAGAAGGAGGACGCGGAGTTCTCCGTTCGCTTTAATGGCGGCTGCCATCTTCCTGGTCTCCCCGCGCCTCCACCGCTGTCGGAAAGGACCCAGCTTTCATCTGACAGGACCCCGCTCAAATAGGCCATTGGTGCTCCATAATTAGTTCAGATGTCGAAGTTGGTGAATAATTGATGATCGGGGACGAGCAGGGAGGAAGACATTTCACATCAACTGTTTTTTTTCCTCTTTTTTAAAGGACAGCTGGTGCTGTGCAGTTCCCATCGCAGACATGAGTCTCTGGTGTTGAGGCCACAAGAGGATGCACTCGGAGCGGAAACTGGGGTAGTAAAGAGAATAATTACAGAGTTAAACTGCAAAATAAATGTCTTGTTTGCACCGGGAATGGGCGGCCAAAGGGAATACAGATGCTTGTGAAAAACAGATACCTGAGCAAAAATAAAGCCAACCACACCAAGAAGACAGAGGCTAATTTATGCTGCTGCCAATCACTGAATATAATTGCAATAGCAGGTATAATAGCAGCTCAGGACTAGTTATTTTCCCCCTCCGGCTCTATCTCAGGTGCTTGGAGAGGTTTCCATCAGCTCCTGATTTTTCAAGAGAGACCTCTCAGACAGAAATGACAATGGACTTTCAATGGCTTATAATTATGCCACTTTCCTGTACAATTTCCTGCCCGTCATTTGCATTAAGACTCATGCGGGTGAAAGTGAGCCACACGCTGCTCTGCTAAAGGCCCTCGGATCAGCCCCATGCCTCAAATTACCAGGTGCTCTAACACTTCTTGGAACGTCTCTGCTCACCCCGCCGTCGCTGTCCTAAAGTTATCTGACTCTGTTAATTGGATGGATGACGTCCAGAGTGTGACTGCGTGAGGATCGCAGAGAAAGAAGCAGGCGCCTGGGATTTGTGAAACCAGCGTTCACCGTTTCCTCTCTCCAAGGTTATTCAACATTGCATCTTGTGTTCTCAAAAAACTAAAATCCTTTAAAAAATAATTAAAAAATTATGCTGAACGTGTTGGTGATCCATGTTGGATTTAGGGCCAAATGTAATACTGCCATCTAGTGGATAGGAAGAAGACTGCTTAACAGTTGCCGATAAATGTGAAAATAATTTGATTTTATGCTTAGAAATAAAAATCTGAATTGTCTAGCGTGTGTTTTGTACCTGACATCACCTTTCTTTTTACAAATAAGCCAACATTTGAGAGCAGTTTGGTTTTATTTAAGGGTAAATACATGTCAGGTGATTCTAAAAATGTTGAAAACTTTACAAAAATGTGTTTATTTGCCATAAGAAATCCTTACTATTGTTGTTTTTTTACTAAGTTTAAATCTACTGCCTCAGCTGCTTTAGTAATCATGTGAAGGCTCAGATTATATTGTGTGAGGGACGTAAGTTTTTTTTTTATCTATATAAACCATTTTTTACATTCTTCCACATGCAGTCAGCAGATTGGGTGATGCTTTCCTTTCAGATGGCTCTTAATTCTGGGATTTGTTGCTCTCAGAAGCGGCTCTCGTTTCCCCCCCTAAGCTCTCTGCGGATCTTCGCACAGTAGGCGTCTCTCGTAGCGTTTTGAGAGGTAGCTGAAAATAAATCACCGCCCTCCCACCAGTACGCAAGCATGTCCAGATGGTGAAGTTTTCACTGACGTCCCCCCGCTGAATTTCCCCCCATTGTCTTCCTCTCTAAAATTAGAAGGCAATACTTGGTTGAAAAGCGCTGCGTCTGCTCAGATGGCGCTGGTTAATTATCAGGAACTGGATTTATGTGCCGCCCACAAGTGAATCGTTGGAGAGTTTAGCAGAGAACCCTAAAGAGTTGAAATTTTAGGGTTAACTTTCAGAGTCCTTTGCTTAATTTAAATAAAATTCATGTAGCAGGAAGACACATGAATTGGTTTCATGTCATTATCCTTGTTTGTGTCGTGACAAGTTAGATTAAATCAGATCTCCAGCTTATTTTTTATGAAATCTCATTTATTTCATTATCTTGACATAATGAGTTTGTTTTGACTTCATTTTTATGAACTGATAATGAAATCAAAGGCTTGTTTTTACAGCATTAACATCTTAATGATGTCTTGATATGAAGGCGTGATGTGACGCGTCGAGGGTTTCAGTATCTGCTTTGATTGTCTTTGTTCTGGTTGAGGCGCCCAGAAAACCTGCTAAGCCTGGTGGTTGGGCTGCCGAGTTTTAGTTAAAAAATGTTTAAATTTAAAGTCTTTAAAAAATGCAATCATGTTTTAAAAACTAATAAATAAGCAAAGCTAAGTCAATTACCCCCTGTGGTTCTGGATTCTGTGCAGCTGGATGGATTTTTGCTTTTTTTTTTTTTTTTACTTTTGAACATCTGTTAAGACGAAACCTGTCGTTTTTTGTACCTTTGTGTAAAAAGAGATAGTTGTCATTGAAACAGAAGTTATTTCTCAACCGAAATTAAAAGAGTCTTGATATTTCAACACTTTTTACAGAAAGCAAAATCCACACTTTCCAAAACTGCAGCAACCAAAATTATTGTCGGATCTCCTTTTTTCCGTCTCTTCATGTTAGTCAATAGAAGAAAATGGGAAACAATGGCTGTCAGTTTTGGGTGTTTTATTTGGGCTCCCAATACATAAGTCAAGGTTTTGTTCATCAATACAGTCTGCTTTGGATTTTAATACAATGGAGTTGTTTGGACTGATGCAGTAACCAACACTTCTGAACTACAGTCCTATATACACAACTTTAGAGATCTGTATTTTCAGATGGTTAATAACATTTATCATACTGAATAGCGATTGACTAGAACAATCACAAGATTTTTTTGTTTTAATTTTAGCTGCTATGTTTTCGATGCAGATCCACAGCAGTCTTGATAGCAGTCTTGCTCTGAAGTGAGTGCTCGCCAGGTTCTGATAGGCCTTCAAATAAACGGGCCTCCCATTTGTTCTGCACTCTGTAACGTTAGCAGACCATTTTTCTCTGGATCAGATACAAAAGTTTAATCCATCCTCCCCCACCGCACTGGAGGGAGGCTCTCGCTTTTATCAAAAAATGTTTAAGACCTGAGATTTCAGTGGAACAAAACTGAAGGACGACAAAAAAAAAAATTGAGTGTAAACTGTCACAAAGGCAGCAAAATGTCAGCCATTTTCCTTCTTCTTCCTTTTCCTCTTCTTGTGACTTTTAAAACGTGCACATTTTAAAATAACATTTAAAGGAATTATTTTCCAGCTGCATTCCTAAAACAACTGATACATGTTTTTTTTTTCCTTTTGTGTTGCGAGGAATTAATACACAGCTCTATAGTTTGATAGGAATCATCAATAATCAGTGTGTAGACACGACTAAGGGTGATGCAGATAACTTAAGACAGATAAATTTCACTTTTTAAACTCTATAAAACCTCATCCTAGATAAATCTAGGGACTCACAGTTACAAGTTCATTCCTTGGGCACTTAGTAAAGAGTCCAGCATGTCAAAAGTGTTTTTGTAGTCAGTGTGTTGGCCGTTGGACAGCAGCATGCCGTTCGTCCCGTCGTGGAGCTCCATCGCTCTCTGACCGCCGTCTGACGGGTAGTGAGCCGAGGAAACGCCTCCTTTGGAGGACCTGCTGCTCTTGGAGGACGAGTGGTGGTGGTGGTGGTTGTTGTGGCCGCCAGAGTCGGCGTGCTGTCTCTTACGGGACGAGCCGGAGGAGCTGCTGTCGTTAAAATGGCCGCCGGAAGCTCGGACAGAGAAGGCGGCGCCGTCGGCCGTCACCCTGCTGTTCCCGCCGATGGAGTACGAGTGGGAGTGGCTGTGTTTGGAGTGGCGGTGTCCGCCGTGCTCTTTGTGCTTGTCCTTCCCCGACAGAGTCGAGCCCTGATCCGAAGAAACCTTGATTCTCATTTTGAACTCCTCGCCCGTGACGGAGCCGTTCTCGGCATAGGAAGAGGCGAGCCGGGGCTTCTTCAAGCTCGCCTTCTCCCGCCTGCCGTCACCCGACTGGCCGGCCTGCGGCTGCTGCTGGGAGCGTCTCTTGTGGTGGTGCGAGGAGACGGCCGGAGGAGCATAAACGTCGGCGCCGAGCTCCTCCTTAACGCCGTTCTGCAAGGCCAGCTCTCCTGCTTGCTTCACCCTGTACTTCTCCAGAGTCAAGACTTTCTGCGGCCGTGAAAAAGAAGCGCCGCCCAGCTGCTCGTGGTCGCTGCTGGACCCGGCTGTGGCTTTCTGTTTGTGTTTTACTAGCGTGAAGTCTGAGTGGGCAGGCTGGGAGAACTGGTCGCTGAGCTGCTGGTATATGGGGTAAGAGGCGGCTATGGAGCTCAGGCTGGACATTTCTGAGGAGTTTGACGTGGAGGTGGAGGGGAAGAAGGAGTTGGTTACACCAGGAAGGCCATCTAATGACGTCCCCTGGAAGGCACTCTCCACAGCCGAGCCTTCAGTCTTTGGTTTCTTTGCTGCTTGAATGGCCTACAGACAGACGGACAGTTCAGAGCATTGTGAATCAACATGTCACTGCAGCAGGTCATGTAGGTGGATCATTCTGGACTTACCCTCCAGTTTCGTATCCTCTTCAGCTTGCTGGGTGTCCTCTCCAGAATCTGAAGGAACTCATGGGTGAGCTCTGGAAGTAAGCAAGTAGATGGACAGATTAGAATGTTAAATGGACAGAAAAACCACTAGATGGCACAGATTTTTGGTTGAATAGATGGAAAACAATTCCAGACTGCAATCGTCATCATTTTACAATCTCACCATCTAGCAGCTGTAGCGTTACGGTGCGGTCCACGTACTCCCACCAGTGTTTCCCATCTGTGGACACCGGGATCTCCCAGTTGGACCACTTGCAGGCCAGGTGGATGCAGACACATGCAACCACTGTTGGCCTGTACTGCAGGCAGAAGGTGGTGAGGTGCAAACTGCAAGAAGAGAGATGACACACCCCAGAGATACATCACTAGGTCCAGAAAAGATTAGCCAGCTCATTTAACAAACAGTGACTAAATTATTAACACCCATTTTCAATCATTAACTTGCCTTCTGGAACTGGAAAATGTTTAAAAACATTTGTGACATGGTGTTAAAAAGTCTTCATTGCAGAAAGTATGAACCAGGAATACTGTCTTTCATGTCATCAGACTTACTTGTTTATGCACACATTCAAAAGTTAGCTAGCAGAATGAAACAGGAAATTAAATGGGGAACAAGTAAGCTAAATGGGCTGAGCACTTCTGCCTGCCACAGCTGGTTACCATCGAAACCGTGGACACGGACTTGTGGTGCTGAACATCAAGTCCTCTTGGAGGGAAATAGATTATTCTGCTGCTTCTCTCAACTAGTTTTTCTCTTCCTGACAATTTGAGGTCTAAAGCCTCAACTTGTGTGAAATCACTTGCTTTTTCTGTACGTGTTCTTCCATTTCAGGCCCAAAATAACGAAAAAGCTGCATGGCACGTTTTAATAATTAAATATTGGCTGTTATTTCTGTTTATACTTTCTGCAATGAGGTAGATGACACATTAAAAGTAGGAATTACTCAAGTTTTTTAAGATTATCAAACATTTCCCCCCCCCTGTTTTAACATACAAAAAAGTAAAAATTCAAAATATAAAGCTGTGTTTGCTTTTAAAAATTAGCAAAGAGAGCACAAAGCAGAAATCTTATCTCTAAGAAACACATATGGCTGACTTAATGTTTTACAGGGTTAGAACTTCTCCCAATTATTTGTTGGCACCCTTGGTAGAAATGGAAAAACCTTAAAACACATTAATCTTTAGTGGCAATAGCATAATCTCAAGTGTTTTTAGTAACCATTAAAAAATGGTAAAAATAATCAGATATGTCATGAAAAGATACTGTCCAAAATAATCTCTACATTTGGATTTTATGCACTGAAATTAAATTAATGCACCGTTTTTCAGTGCAAGATTAAGCCACTGCAGAAAAATATTTATTTTAAAGCAAACAACCATAGCTGGTTGATTTATTCACTTTTATTCATGTGATTATATATGTTTTAATAGGAGGTTGTATTAGTTTGCATGCAAATTAAAGTGAGCTGCTGCTACCAATACTGCCACAAGATGGCAGTAATAAAAAAGAGGATGTTTCATCTCATGCTTTCATAATTATTTAAATGTTACGTTTTTAGGAAAATGGCCTTTTTGTAAGTTTGTTCGGTTTTTCATCCATGTATTTATACAATGAGTACAAAACAAAAAAGAAGAATCTTTTAGCTTGCATTATAGTTTGTCGTTTCTGTAAAAGGATGGAAATTTTTTTTCAAATGCAGAAAAAATTTTAAATTAAAAGAAAGATTTGAACTGTACTTACCAAGAAACTCTATAAGTTAAAGAATCTTTAGCGGCAATCTATATTCAGGCTACCATTTGTGTTTTTTAGACATGTGCACTCGGTACCAAACAACCCTCAGAGGTAAACAGCAACACTACACTCCACACTGTGCATTCAACCCCTCTGTGCCAACACTGAGCCCCTGTACAATACACCGCACACAGCAGCCTGGCCGGTACTTCCCAGCATGGGGGTTCCCAGGGTCCAGGCTGCACGCAGGGCGTTGGACACAGGAAGGGGGACCCTGCAGGACAGGAAGCCATAGTGTGCCATTACAGTGCAAGAATGGGAACAGGATAATAACCTGTTGGTAGCCATGAAATAGGAAGTCTGTGCCAAATCCTTGCTTGCTGTAAAAGAAGAGAGAAAGATGCTTTAAAACTCATTTACATAATAAGCTTCACATCACAACATACAGTTTATGCCGTTCGGAAATCTATGATACCAAAAAATAAATAAAATAAAAGGTCCCTTTAACTTAAATAAACTTGATTTACGGTAAATCTTTACGGTAAATTTTTACGGTAAAAAAAAGGCAATACCTCGCACTAGCTGGGAACACCTCACAACATCTGTGTGAGGATGATCAACTGTAATTTCAAAACCTGTAACCAAAATAAAAAAAGAAACACATTAATGTAAAAAAAAAGAGAAAAAAACAGTGACTCAAAACAGACTTTAAGTAAATTGAGGCGGATTTCTCACCCAGCGTTTGCAGCACTATCGTTTCCAGGGCTACAAGCTCTTGTGCCAGCAGTTGGAATGCCTGAAAAGATTAAAAAATAAATAAAGAAATGCAAAATATCCATCTTATTCTGCACCTACTATCAAAGTCAGAGCAGGGTAATGTTTTGGAACTGTCCAGTTAAAGCACAAGGTTGTGTGTTTGAAAAAATTTTTTGTCACTCTCCATTCAGTCTGACAAAGAAAATTGGATAGAGCTAAATGAGATACATCCCAAATAACTGCCAACTTTAATTTTTTTGTATCGTGGCACCAGAATCCAAGCATTTTGGCAATGTCTCAACTTCCCAACATCCATTTTCCTTCAAATTCCTTAGATTTACACACAAAAAATGTATGGATATAGTTGGCGAAGAAGAATTTGGAGTTACATTCCCTAGAAAAGTCTGAATACAGAACTACAATTACAGAGGCTGGGTGAACTCAGTTCAGCTGCCACTGGAGGATTTTTCTCCTATCTATGTCCACAGTTTAGAGCAGTGCTTCTCAAATAGTGGGGCGGCCCCCTTTGGGGGGCGCGGTGCGATACCTGGGGGGGCGCGTGTGATCCTGGGGAACAGGCTTTTTTTTTGGCCGTACTAGTAGAAAGTGTAATTGCGCACAGTAGGCGGCAGTGGCGCTCTCATTGTTACTTCTGTCACGTTTGCGACAGTGCAACATTTTACGACTTACAAGACAACAGGTTTGCCTTGGTTAGCAGTGTTACGTCAACAAAAAGCTCCGACTGCGTTCTGTCTATGGCGTCCGTTATTCAACAACCCCCAACATGAAAAAGTTTTTCACAGGGATGAAAAGAAAAGCGGAGAGAGACAAAGATAATGAGACAACAGAAAGTCAACCGAAAGCTAAGAAGAGGAAATACGACGAAGCGTATTTAGCGCTTGCTTCACACTGTGACTACAGTTGGAGAAGAGGAAAGACCGGTGTGTTTGCTGTGTCTAAAAATGCTCGCAGCGGACAGCATGAAGCCAAATAAATTAGCGCGTCACTTAAATACGTTACATCCCAATCACGCCGATAAGCCGCTAGAGTTTTTTCAGCGAAAACGTGCTGAATATTGCCAACAGTCATCCCGCTTTGTGAAGGCTACTTCAGTAAACCATCGAGCGCTGCTAGCATCATATAAGGTGGCGTACCAAATTGTGCAGTGCAAAAAGCCCCACACCATAGCAGAGGAGCTGATATTGCCTGCAGCAGTAGACATGGATTTATTTATTTTTAATTTCAGGCATTGATGCACTTAAAATCTTTTCTGTTGCAGACTTAAAACACGATTTAATAAAGTTATTCTTTGTAAGTTTGACCATATGTCTTTCTTTTTTTCTTTAATGTTAATGAAAAAATGTTATGCAGAGATGGATAGTCACGGTGGGGAGTGGGGGCGCGAATAGTTTTTCTTCTTGCTAGGGGGGGCATAACGGAAAATAATTGAGAAGCACTGGTTTAGAGAGAGAAAACAAAGCATGAAAAGAATCAATACCAATCAAGAGAATAGTTCAAGCAATTCCACTGAAATAAAAAAGCTGGACTCAAACTGGTCTGCCAAGATGGTGAAGTATCAGCTGTTTAATGGTTAGAACTGGCTTTGGTCTACAACATTCCTCTGTTCTAAATATATCTAGACTGGAGTAAGGATGAAAAGCAAACACTTTTTCAACACAAAGCACAAATGACATCAGCCATGATGAAATACGATGACAGCCCATTACTTTGTCTTGGTTAAAATGATTTTAAAACAAAGGATTGCCTTAGAGTAACACCATAAAGATCCTAAGTCAATTCTTCAATATTGGATAACTTACACTGCTTTTAGTGTCAGGGACGGGGTCCTGCGGGTTAATGAAGGCTTGGGCTATTTTAATGACGTGCTCCAGCTTCCTGGGCTGCTCCTCCACTTTGGCTGCCAGGAATAACGTGGTCTGGGAAATGATCTGTTAATGACGATGGAAACAGCCTTAATTACTCTTATTAACGTACAAGTCTGCGTTAATAGCAGGAGAAGTGCTGTTGTACTTACATTTCTGTTGAATTTGGTGAACGAGTGGATCATATAAAACCTATGCATATAAACTATAGCGGTGTTGATTATTAGTTGAGACCTGCACGAGGAGTTAAGGAAGAAAGCCGGATGACGTAGAGAAAACCAGCCTTAGCCAGAAATTTCGACCCAAGAAAACGACTGACGCAACATTTGTTACATCAGGGAGAAAATTAGTGCTTAGGCCTCCACCTCCTGGTGGATTATGTCTATTTGTAAAGTACTGTTGGGTGGTAATGGTATATATAAAACGTGTCGATGCTAACAATAGAAACCGACCCAGACTAAACAATGGCTAAGCTAACTACAGGCCTGTGCTGCTCTCATGATCCATAAACATCACTCTATCCTGTCTTGATCGCATCTCTCTTCGTTATAAATACATATTTGTTACGGAAAGAGTAGAAATCGTTGAGAAAAACGAAGTAAGAGTCTCTGTAAGCTCAAGGTAACTGCATCTAACCGGTTAGCCGCTGCCCTCACAAAGGATACACGTTGAGCCTTTGGCCGATGTCCTGGATCAGATTAGCGGCCTGCTGCCTGTAGGAGAGCTCCTTGTCCGCCTCGATCCCGCAGCGTCGAGACGGGGTGTTTTCCAGCTGCTCCCGGGTAAACAGCCATTTCGTGGAGGGTCCCCGGTGCACCGCCATCACGCTCCCACGGCCAAGCCCGACGGTGTTAGCACCGGGAGGGAGCGAGGCGACTGGAGCACCGGAATGACGAAACGAGAAGAAGAGTGTGAAGCCGGGAAATGGTGCATTTCTGCAACAGCGACACTAGTGGTCGGTGGAGCAAATTACAACAAGAAAACATGAAATATACATTTTGCTTTAATTTATTCAATTATGGAAGATTAGAACTACTGGAAAATATGAAGTAACTTTTTAGAAAAAAATAAATTAATTAAAAGTCAAAAATTACTCAAGTAAACGTAAAAACGTATTTGGTGAAAAGGCTACTCAAGTACTTATGAATCTGATACTTAAAATATTCTTCATATAGTGACAATTCACAACAAATGTCACCTTAAGAAACCTTACAAAAATATTTCAATTGAACCTTGTTTTCAAACAATGCAGCCAACTTCAATTAATTCCGATACAATTTGTTTAGGAAGGCGTATCTGAAAGAAAACATATTGTGTGTCTGTAAAATGTGAATTATCAGCTGAAAACGTAGCAGAATTTTACATTTTGTCGACTTTTTAGACATGTTTGATGTAAAATAACTTGCAATACTCTATTAGTCGTCTAGAGGGAGGCAATCAACACCAAACTGGACGCATTTTGGAGTCTTTCTATAATGGTTCAGGGGTTTGCAACATGTGGCTACGGATCCGCACGTGTTAATAATTTACAATAATAATAAACTTAGCAATGTTTTTAAACATAAAGCTAATGAAAATAATATTTTTGCATTATTGCATGTTTTTAAGAAATGTTTGCATCGTATTTCTAAACTAGTGGTGGAACCGTAAGGTCTTTTATTAGGTTATGACCTTTTTTAATACTCCATATTTACAGAATTCAACAAAATGTATATCCTCTATTTTTTTATTCTAAAATTCAACACTAGAAATAAAATGGCTGCTGGTTACAACAATGCAAAAAAGAAACATAAGGTAAATAAATTGGGTAGAATATGTCTACTTTTAAATATATGTGATTAAAAATGCTGAATAATGTTTAAAATACTGATACAGGTGGCTTGTATCATTACTTTAAAACAAAATAAGATTAAGCTATTGTATGATACTTTCTTTTGAGGGATTTTAAAATCACTCAAAAGTGAGTGATCACTTTTGAGTGGTCACTTTTGATCACTGGAAAGTAATCACTTTTGAGTGGTCACTCGAAAGTGATCATCTTTGAGTGGTCACTCGAAAGTGATCACTTTTGAGTGGTCACTCGAAAGTGATCACCTTTGAGTGGTCACTCGAAAGTGATCACTTTTGAGTGGTCACTCGAAAGTGATCACGTTTGAGTGGTCACTCGAAAGTGATCACTTTTGAGTGATCACTTGAACTTATTACTTTTGATCACTGGAAAGTGAAGTGACCACTTTTAAATTTAACAAAATTTAAAATTTAACATATTTTAAATGTGTTAAAATGAGTTTCAACACATTTTCATGGAGAAGAAATCACCATATGACCTGAAATCAAAACAGGAATTCTGGATCATAAATAAAAGTTTTATTTATTTCAAAAAGTAAACAAAATTTATGAATGCGTTTTCATTGTCTGAACAGTTGTGCAGCGACGCACGCGCTGAAACCTCACGAGGCAATTGTTTTCCTCGCGTGTCCGCAGCGCGAGCCAGTGGTGCAGCTTCGTGCGACCGCGCAGGTCTCGTGTTTTCCACCACGGACAGTAATTAGAGAGCTGGTGCGACCCCTTCACAGAGCTCCCACTCCACTGCGACTATTATTGTCCACACACTGAAACGTGGGTCAACGTTTAGGTATGAAGGGTTTTTTATTTTTAAATGTCTTACAGCAAACTTTAAAAATTTTTAGCCTTCTAACTGATTGGTTGTGTCTTGTAAAACCATAAACTTTAAAATAACTAGCTAAAATAATCATATGAAAAATGCTAATAGACATATACTGTCATATTCAGTCATTTATATTTGGAAAAAGGTAATTTATTTCAGTAAGCCAATTACAGTTCCAGTTTGAGTTCTGAGCTTTTATGCCTTGACTTTCTGCACTCCTTGTACAAAATTCGGACTCTAGTTCCAGAATAAATAAAAAATAACAGAGGTCATGTTCGCTGCAGCATTCTAAACATTAGTAATATAATTAAGTTTTCTTCCTATTCTGTTTTGACTATTTTCAGTGCTTCCCCGGAGTTTATTTTGAAATCTGTATTCCCCAATTTCCGCTGTTGTCTCGCTTGCAGTGCGTAATTTGGCGCAACTGGACGCGCAACTCAACGAGGAATTTCCCTCCTCCCAACTCTGTCTGTGGGTCTCTGCCCATCGGAAAGGCTGGTTCTCCCGCTAAGGTGTGACATTCTCGGCGTGCCTCACTGGACCCACAGCCGAAAAGATGACGGACCCAAACCCGCCAGACTCCGCCGGCGTCCCGGAACCGGCTTCTGGAGTGGAGCCCACGGCGGTGAACGGCCAGTGCGAGCAGACGGAGAACAACACAGAAAGTCAGCGAGAGGGTTTCAAGATGGATCAGGAGATGAAGATAACAGAGAGCATTGAGGATCGGGGTAGGTGATCCCAGAAATATTCATTTTTTGTGCGTAATTTAACTAACAGGTGGTTAAAGTCTGTTTTAATATGTGGTTTAGGTTATTATGGCATAAGATTAAAAAATGTTCTCATCTGTTTTCTATCTAATTGACATTGTTTGCAAAGACAGTGAAAGTATAATAGTAAAATTAGAATTATGAATTTGATCAGAATTATTCTGGTATTAAAAATATTGGTGCTAAAGGTTCCTCATTTAATCAACCAACCATTTTTATCTAGTATGTATCAGCAATAAGTAAAACTGTACAAATAATAATTATTAAATAAGTAAGTAGCTGATTGGTATTTGTAAAAGTATATATGTGTTTTTGTGAAATGATATTTTCTTCACAACATGCATCACAAGTCTAATGAAATCAGTAAATGCTGCCATAATAAATATAAATAAGTCTCTTGCTTTAATTGTGACACATTTGGGCTTCCATAAGGATAAATAACTTAACTGAGATCCAGGAAGTTTATTTTCAGCACTTTGCTTTAATTTTTGGCAGCTCACAAATGGTCAACATGTCCATTTATGTCGCTTTAATTAATTCTATAAAATACATTTTGTCCAGTTCTGTTCAGTTTTGTCCACTTTATTACAAAATAAACAAAATACAGTCAGGTTCAGAAGATATCGTGATGCTAATTAGTAAAAAATAGAAAATTAGGGAACGTGAAGTTTCCATTGAATATTTGTATTGCTTCAATCATGCATGGGGTGACAGTGGAAAGGAACTACCACCTTTTAGCAGGTAACCTGACAACGGTTCAAACGTCTTTCTGCTTTAGATAAAATGAAAGCAGGAATAACTAAGATTGTAGCACAATTTGAGAGTTAAGTTAGTTCTTTTATTGCTTATACTTTTCTTCAAGTCGTCATAAATCATGTATGAAGCTCATGAGTCATTTTAGCTTCTGGTGAGATAAAGGGTGGATATCAGGGATCCTGTCAGTCAAACAGCCTGAACCTTCAGGGTTCACTTTATTCCAATTTAATGCAATCATTCTGCAGGGAGAACATTTTCTCCTAATGCAGTTTCTTCACAGTATCTCTGAGGTTTCTTTTGTTGTGTTCCAAGGACATTTAGGTTTTCTGCAAACTAACAACCAGGGAAGATTTGTATACACTCAGCAACAACCAGAGCAGAATAAAGGAATCAGAGCCAGAAAACAACATGTCAGCATGTAAAAGAGAACGTTTTGCCCCTGATATTTCTTCTGGGAGACAAAGTTAGAGATTGTTTGCAAGTTGAGAACCTCAGAACTACAAAAGTTTGGATCTCTTGTCGTGTGTAGGTCTTCTGGAGAGCAGCATGCGCCTGAAGCCTCATGAAGCACAGAGTTACCGAAAGAAAGCTCTGTGGGTGTCCTGGGCGTCCATCATGGCCACCATCATCCTGGCTGTCGCCGCTTTCAGTGAGTGACATTATTTCGTGGAAACGCATGTTTGGATTTCTAGTGTTTGCTCACGTCTTCATCTAATCCAAAGGTACATGAGGGCTGGTCTGGTCTATAGTTATCATAAGCAAAGGCAGTTTGCTCGAGGAAATGACTGAGATCCTCTCTCCCACTTTTTCCTTTTCTTCTTCATTAGGCAGAGAGTAGTTCCTGAAAAGAGTTCCCACATTGCTGCAGTGTTGTTGATTACCTGCAGCAGACGAGCATATTAGGGCTTCCAGCTACTAATGTCATGAAGGATCATTATGTTTTTATTTACCATACACAGCAACTCGTTCTCTCCCTCTCTCTCTCTCTCTCAGACTGTATGCAGTGTTTTCGTCAGCGTGGCAGGACGAATCGTTGCTCTGTCACACATCAGATTCTCTCTTCATAAATAAAACATGCCACTGCTTCCAGATTAGATGCATAAATGAGACAAAGTGATGAATGAGGGCAACGCAGCAGCAGGAGTTACTCTGTTATTACTCAGACAGTTGTTTTCTTTGATTTCGGACCCAATAATTACATGACTAGACGACTCCAGTGGTTTAATAATGTAAGAGTAATTTATTTTAGACACCTCAACAGTTTAGAAGTTCTTAGAGCTGAAACGATTAATTGTGATAAGTTGACTATTGAAATAATTCTCAACTTATTTAGTAATTGATTAATCACTAACTGGAGTACAGACTCAAAAAAGGTCATTTGCTGAAAAAAACCCAACATATTCAGAACACTTATTAGGTCAAAACTGTACAAATACATATTTATAGATTGTGCGTTTACGATAAAAACACCTTTGCTGAAAAATAAGTTTTCCCCAACACTCAAATTCACTAAAGGAATGCTTTTATTGGATTTTAGGCATCAAAACATTTATTTTCTTGTTTAAAAAAGGAGCCGAATTGTTGGTTTATTTTATTTTATCCGATCAACTGATTAAGCATCAGAATAACTGATAGAATAAATTCCAAAAATAATTGTTGGATCCCTTTAATTTTATGTGTCGATGTTTTTTCTTCTGCCAAATAGAGATTCAGTCAGAGAACTCATTCCTCATGACACGTTTAGACAAAGTTTAATGCATTTTATTGGGATTTTGTGTCAGACCTGGTAAAAGTAGCAAAAGGACAAAGACACATGATATTTGAATGATACAAATTAGTCCAGATTTCCTTAATTGTGGATGATTAACCACAAGACTGCATGTAAATAATTCACATCACCTTTTTAATTCAGTGTGCTAAAAGCCAGTGTCAATATATTTTGTGTTTTAGATCATAAACACATTATACAGCAGCAGAAATTGGGCGTCTGGAAGCTTTGTTTTTAATTTGAGTCTGTTGTTTGTGTCATGAATTGCTTAAATTTAAATTCATCTCTATGAAAAATTAAAAATAAACTTGAAAATAATAGTTAAATAAGATAATTTAGGACTTTTAAGTGACACACAGAAACAATGAAAGTTTTCACTTTGATTATAGCATATGTATTTGTACAGTTCATGATGTTTTTCTCACTTTCTCACATTTTCAACTCAAGCCTGGACCTTAAATTATCCCGGTAATTATTACGATAAAAATAATATTGAGCACTTTCAAGTAATGTATTGATAATGGGATGAAAATGCAAAATCACTCTTTTATTTTGTAAAGAACACTTATATCCAAAATATAAGAAAAGCACAACCAAAACGGTGAATTGTGATGCCTTTGTAAACAAAATTGCCCTTTAATTATTGAGCTCTTTTAAATTACTGTACAACTTATTGATTATTTCTTCAGGCTTAGTCACAGCCACCACCTTCAATGTATTTTATTGGGATTATGTGTGAATTGAACCAAAAATATGCACAAATATTGTTCAAATTTGCCTGTTCCTATCAAAATCTTACAATAAATATTTGTTTTATGAAGAGAAAATGTGAAATCCTGACTGTCAGAGGTCATTTTTCGGTCATGCCAGAGCGTTTTGGGGCCTCTCCCCTCCACTCCTGCTGCTGCTCTGTGGCCCTGAAACCATTAATGCCACTCAGACTCTGGAAAGCGAGTTGTTAGATGTTTTTACGGTTGGCAGCTGCAGCAGCAGAGGGGGGAAACATGCATGTTTATGCCACAGCTCACACCTGATACCCTGTCTGCGCATCCTCTGACTGAAACATGGCAGGACTGTTTGACAGCAGCTGAGCGAACCAGAACAAAACCAGTTTCTGTTTGTTTAGGCTGAACACCAGCTTCTGTTTTTGTTCAATAAAAACGGCATCAGTCGGTTAAATGTAAAAATAAAAGTAATACTAGACAGGTCAGAGCGTTTTCTAGACAAGCAGCAATGAAGAAGCGAACAGCAGGGACTTGTGTGTGTGTGTGTGTGTGTGTGTGTGTGTGTGTGTGTGTGTGTGTGTGTGTGTGTGTGTGTGTGTGTGTGTGTGTGTGTGTGTGTATGTGTGTGTGTATGACACCCACCCAGCTTCCTTAGGAGCCAATTAACCAGCACTGGGTTCAGTTTTGACGACCACAGAGCTGCAGCTGAGTTATTTATACAATATCTCGCTTTTTCTCCTCCTAATAAAGGAGAAAGAAGATTAGAAGGTGACCTGGCTTTCTTTGTTACAGTGAGCATTTATTAAAACCAAGAAAACACAAAAGTGTAGTTTGTTTTGATTAAATACTGTGCAAAATTTAAATGTTTATGTTTTAGGAGGGGTTTATTTTTCTAAGTACAGTTGTAGCATCTGGGATCTCCAGAAGCTAAAAGCTGCAACGATTAATGCCAAATAAGCAGCAGAAAGCTTTTATTGTTCAGGTGTCTTAAAGCTACACATCAGGTTCAGCTACTGATTGGCTTAATGCATTAATCTTGTTCATAACCATTTCAAAAAAACAGTTTTGATCCCAGATGGAAATTAAATGTTGGCTGCAGGCAAAAGAAGATCTCCTGTAGCAGTCAGTATCACAACGTCCTGTTGTCGTCTTCTTGGTTTGCGCCATTCACGACATCTGATAGTTGATCATGTGGCTTGTGTGATGTGAAAAAATTGCTTCCATTGCAGTTTTACGAAATGAACCAATTTCTATTCTCATCTCATTTTGGCGCCAAAACTTTATATAGAAAACAAGATTTTGTATTTTAAATGTTCAATTAAGCAAATTTCCTTTCAAAATGTCCAATTACGTTCTTGAAAACACAGATTTTGTTGTTGTCTGTAATGTTAGTAATTTTAAGAACATTTGTCCTGTGCTTTTAGCAGCAACAACCCCACATCATGATCCTTCCACCTCTGTGTTTCAGCTCAGAGTTAGCGTTGCTTTTCCTCCAAACTAGGATAAGTCAGAAGCCAGTTTATGAGTTGCTGTATAAACTGGGGGTTGTGTGCGTTGCGTCCTCACCCTTTCTTATTTGCTTTGACATCAGCAGCTGTCAGTTTCAGGCTTTGTCTCCTGCTTATTTAAAGCAGATTGTGTACATTAAGTCAAGTTTTCAAGCTTAATCTGCGTCACAAACGACTCAGAGACTCTTCTATTCTGCAAGCGGATGAGATTAATCTATTAGTGATGCAGCTCCACAGACTTCAGGTGTCATAAAAAGATCCCAGTCGGTGATTTGTATGCAGGGCTCGTTTGCAGTGTGAGTGCTGCAGTTTTTGATTATGTTTTTATCCTTGAGAGAAACATGAAGATGAAACAAAAGCAGAGGATAGTCAGGAGCTTAAATGGAGGAAAAGGAAACAATATGAGCATCTAGAAGCTCTCTGGCCCCCTGTGAGTTTTTCTAAAAATAACCTGGAGAGGCAGATTTCTCCCCGCTGATTCAGGTGCAGAAATGTTTGCTACCTCCAAATCAAATTTCAGATTTCTCTTCCTCTTGTCTCATCTGTCCGGTTTTCTGCAGGAGTTGATAAGAAAGCAGAACTGATCTGCCGTCCCACATTTAAAAGAAACGTAAACGTTGTGTTTATCTGTGTGTTTTCTTGCAGCTGTGTCCATCATGCGCCACAGCGCCTCTGCTTTTGGATTCGCTGTAAGTCCACACCAACACGTCTCAGATCTGAACGGAGGGGAATGACGTGAATTGCATGCTAAATGTTCTTGTTTTGTTTTGCTTTCTCGCTGCAGTTTGACGCCACGCTGGACGTGTTGTCCTCCGTCATTGTGCTGTGGCGCTACAGCAACGCAGCCGCTGTCTATTCTGCGCACCGTGAATACATGTGAGTGCAACTTTTCCACATTTTGTCCCATTTCAAGTCTAGTCTGTAGTGTTGGGAGGTGCTCTGTTTGTTGCTCAAATTTCCTGAAGCAGCAAATGCATCTTCTGAAAAGACTTTCTTGATTTGGGTGTTGAATTGGTTTAATACGGATATCGCCACATATTGAATGAAGTAAAAGGAAATTACTTGGCAAATAAATGAGCAAAACAAACTTTGACAGTGATTTTTGTTTTCAAGAAGATGTAAAACATGTTTTTTATTATTTTTTCATTCAGTTGAGAGAAGGAATTGGTAGTTTGACATATGCAAAAGTTTTGAAACAATTTTTCTAAATCTTGTTGAGGTATTTCAAGAAGAGAAAATTAATGGAGAAAATATATTTTTTATTTTTTGCTTGGTGTATAAAACAGATATTCAGCTCTGGAAAAAATAAAGAGCTGTATTTAGCGTCCCAATCCACTCCATTCCAGTAGGTGGCGGTAATGCGCACCAAAAAGTTGCTTTCCAACCACCTGAAACAAAGCAGAAGAAGAAGACCTGGCCAATTAGCTTCACCTGTGGTGAGTTCAGGTACTTGGAAAGAAGCGGAAACAACAGTTTTATCTGGAATAAAACTTTTTCCACCAAAAAAATACAGGATTTCTTTGTGGAATAACTTCCTTTTTTAATAAAACTGAATTAAAAACCTAAATTTGGAGAATGAGGTCAGACCATGTAAGCTGTCCGTACCAGTGCTTTCTCTTACCTGTCTCTGTCGCCATTGTTCCCAGTAGTTCCATACAAAGACTTAAAGTTCACAGTAAAAAAAAGAAACAATTTTCTGTGGTGGATAAAAGCAAAGTAAATTATGTTGCATATTAAAACAAACAGAAATTTTTTACTTATTACAACAGAGAAAGGAATTATTGTCTCAAAACAAGCTCATATCTTATTTCAAGTGTACTTAGATATTAAACTAATATGTAGGATTTTGTGTTTTTGGAGTATTAAACTGACCAAACTCCATAACCCAACATTGTGGGTTATGGAGTTTCTCTGTGTTGGTTAAGCCCAACACAGAGGCTTCATTTACAGCGTGAGTCAGATAAAAGCTGGATCTGTCTGTGCTGCGTCTGAAGGAGCATATGTTGGCTTCACACACACCCAGGAGTCGAGACTCATCTCCGTCTCAGAGGAGTATCAAGTAATTGCAGGAGAGACGATGGATGAGATCATGTCCTCCGGAGGAGAGATGGAAACGTTCACTGAAAAACATTAGATATTTGCTCACAAATTGAACCAAACTGATTTGGTTTTGAATTTTTGATCAACATGGATTCAATTAACTTCAGGCTTCATGATTTCTTCCCTCCAATTAGCTGGTGATCAGTTCAAAGTGTAAACAAATAACAGTAAATCTGACCAAATATTTTTTATCTTTGTACACTTTGAGGCAAACCTAGCTCACAAGTAAGTTTTCAGCAAAATATATGAGCTTGTTTTAAGTTAGCAATTCTTGAATATTAATAAAAAATAGTGCTAGTTAAAGAGACATTTTCTGCAAGTGGAACTAGGGTTATCAATATTAAGGAATTATTAACCTAAAATAAGCTCCCATATCTTGCTGAAATTCCTTCTCTGTTAGTTTTGTCTTGTTTCAAGTGTGTGAAGATAAACTAGACAAATATTTGTGGTTTTGCAGTGTGGTATGCACCTCAACTTGCACTCTTTGTCTACTTTTGGTTCTGCAGACAGCAGCGCTCTCTTTCACCAGCCCGCCAGGGATCCATGTTGTTCTTTATTTGTCCACCTGTCTGCGTTTCATAAGCGAGACGCGGTTGAACGGTGAGCCCCAGAGGCTGTCTGGTTACCACAGTAACACACTTGAGGTCTCATAACACAAGATATTAAGGACTTTTTTTCTCGTTCTCGGAAATCACATTCAAAGCTTTCTTGAAATAGAAACACCTTTTGTCGATCGGATGGTGATTACTCTCTGCTTGCTTATGAAGCCCAACAGAAAGGTAGTTCATCTGAAAGCCACAGAGAAACCAGCAGCATCGGCATTGTGTGGGAAACAGCAGGGAGCCAGTCAGCGGGGATGTTTGTCCTGCTGCAGACTTCCCAAAGGGATGCTGGCTGTTGCCGTGGTTACCTCATCCAGTGCAAGCCCTGCTTTCCGAGTGTTGCTCAAGAGCAGCCTTCAGACGACGAGCGCGCTCACTCTGGTAACCATGCATGACCAGGACATATGCTCCAGCTGGCTCCTGCCTCCCTCTGGACTCGGTTAATTGGATGAAGGTCGTTAAAGGACATCTGCTGCTTCTCAATCAATACTCAAAGCACACACATATACACTCCCTGTCATACTATTGTCATGTAAGGAAGGCTGGAATGTGAAACCACACATTGTTCAGATATTTTCTTTATTTTATTATTTTTTTTGTTTCCTGTGTCTGGTCATCATCTGACTCAGAGCCTGCGCGATCCTGGGAGTGATCTTCATCCTGTCCTCCCTTTGCATCATGGGAAAGGCCATCCATGACCTGGCCACCAAGCTGCTGCCAGAAGTGGTGAGAATTGATCAATCACTAATCCATTCTGTCGTGAAATAATTTATTGTAACACTAGAACAGGCAGGAAAAGATTCATAAAAGAGAAATCTCACATTTAGGGGTAAAAATAACAAAATCATCAGAATACTTTAAACTATTGGTGACAGCTGCATGGCTAAACACGGTCGCCTGACTTTCTGCCTGCACACATGAACTGGAGCTTGGGAATGCATGACAAATGCTGCATGCATAATCAGATTTTTCAGTGGAATCTGTGGTTATTTTTGCAGCTCTGTCAGATTGTAACAGGGACTTTCTGCCAAAGATTTCAGAGTTTGAAACAGATGATCTAATATGTACCTTTTATAGAATCCAAAATAAACAGACATGATCATCGTTGCAGAGAGAAATGGATACAAATAATGACTATTGAAAGATGGTCATTATCTGAAGAATGGTGACTTTAAGAGGAAATAATAAATCTGCTTTTGTCATAAGAATATTAAATGAAGGTAGTTATCTTTACATTATATGTCTTAAAGTGGCACAAACACAAAGTTCATCCTGAACAAAAACTAGTTTTAGGTTCAGTTCAGCACTAAGTTCACTACTCCAACATGAACTAGTTCTTGCTTATATAAACTATATTTAATTATGGCTGAATCATATTTTAACGCTTTTATCAGAAAACAAGCTTAAATTTTAAGCAAATCATTTTGACTACTTATGTAATTTCAGTCACTTTTGACTCTTACTAGTTTAGTTTTTTCAGCTGTTATTGCACAGTCTAAAACAGAAGTAATAATATTAAACCACTGCCAGATACTTCAATAAAAGAGGATGCTATTGCACATTTTTAATAATCCTGCAGTCAAAAGAAATAGAAAATTGTGTGATCTTCATCGTTTAAGTAAATTGGCTGACATTGGACCTTCCATATTAACTGTTTTCTGCACATAAATGTAAAATCAGAATGAGCAAAAATAATCTGTTAGTTTTGGGAGTTGTGACCTGAGTATATGTAGTTAAAATTACAGTGTTGTTCCTGAAAATCACAGCAGAAATCTTTGGTTCCACAATTTAAAAATATCCTTAAAAACCAACTTAAAGGTGCATTGTCACTGATTAAGTTGTGATGTCATCGCCATCGTGATTATAAATGTTCAACATTTAGGATTTGGTTGTAAAAAGGAGTAAGTTTTGTGCTGGTTTTAGTTTTTCCAAACTCTATTTTTTCGTTTTTTTCTCGCTAACTGTTTGTGAGGATGAGGTGCGACTCTGCCGGTGCTGCTGGATGAAGAATGTCACAAATCTCAGGTGTGAAGACTCGCAAGCTTCAACACTTCTGTAAATAGCTTTATCGCCCTGCTGCTAGGCGGTAGTAGTCGCTATAGATACAGCTTTGCTTCTTAATTAAATTAGTAAAAATAATCATATACAGGAATATATAGGGATTTTTAAAAAGTATAGATTACTTCATTTAAGAAGTTAAAATTAAATGCAGATGATATAACAGACTGACATCCATTTATATTTGTTTTATTGTTGAAACCACAAACTTTAATGTATTTATTAAAGTTGTCCTTTTTTCAATTAGGCAAAACTGCAGATTTGTTTTAGGTTGAATAAAAAAAAAACATTTTTGCATTTTGCAGGTTTTTTGTGTGTGTGACAAATGCAGTGTATAGATTTCAGAAAAATCTTTTTTTTTTTACACTCTGCTTTTATTCACAACATTGCATTGCTTAGGAAGATAAGATCTAAAAAATGTGATTATGTGTGAATATTTAATGAAAGCAGTGATTGAACATTAATCACCTGTTATGAAATTGACAAATCTATATCTGTTGATCGACAATAATCATGTTTTTAATGGATTACCAAGCATTTGTTAGAAACTCAATCAGTTTTCCAAATCCTGTATTGATTTATTGGCCTGCCTGTGTTTTCGCTGCATTCATCTGCTGCTGCAGAGAAGCAGACGGATGGGGCTGAAACATGGCCGCCACCAAAGCATAAACAAACCCCGACAGATTGTGTTTTTCTTCTTCTTCTTCTCCTCTCACACTCGTCTTGTAGCTCAGCCTTCCTCACTGTGCCACAGTTGGAAATTAGGTACATTTTCCCCCTCAACCCCACCTCTTCTTTCTCTTCTTCATGAAATATTAATAAGGTAAGCAGCTGCTTAAAGATGCAGGTTAGATGAAGGAGGTTGGTTTGACACCTGGCTGTTCCTCTGTACCCAATTAGCGTCAGCTAGTGTCCACAACAAAGCCTAAAATCCTTGTTTATGTCTGAGCTTGAACTCCTCTCCTAAATTAAAGATATTTTAAAAAATCTGTTTGGGGAGGAGTTGTCCTGTGGGACTGATCAACCAATCAGAACAGGAGTTTGGGGGAGAGTTGAACAAGAAATGAATCTGCTCTGAAAATAAATCAAACACTTGAAAGAAAACTTATTTTTGTGGGATTTTATGATACACCAGCACAAAGTAGCACATAATTGTGGAGCTGAAAGTTAAGGATGCTTAAAATGTTTAAAAATGTTAATCTTAAGTGTTTAAATGATTTGTATAATCCACGAATGAAAGAGGTCAAAGGTAAAGTTGTGAGTGAGGCTATAACAAATGTCCAAAGCTTTGAGCAACTCATGGATGATTATTAATCATCCAAAAATAAAAAAAGGACAACATGTTGTTTGGGAGAAAAGTAACTTTGCAGAACAAGCTGAATGCACTCCACAGTGAAGCATAGTGGTGGTCTAATTATGCTGTGGGGTTCAGTAAGGAAAAGAAACAAGAGCAGAGTTGAAATATTTCACTCTAGTTAGTTTTTCTTACTGGAATTTCCACAAAATTCAAATTTTTTAATATGCACTTTTCATTTTACAGATTTTCTTGATGTATGTTGTAAAAAATAAAACTCTTCTCAATCATGCCTCATAATTATCGATTAAATATGAATAATTATCGTAGCGGAAGCTTCCAGTCGTGGAGGAAGTCGAACTATATCTGATTCCTGTGGTTCTTGAGCTTTTGTTTGAGCTTTAAGCATCAAAATGAGCTTAAATCTTACAGAACGGCTCACCTGTCTTCCCCACTAAAGAATGTAATTGATGGTGTGAACATAATCTGCTCAGTGGGTTTCACCCCCAGCACTGAGTCAGGTTTTCTCTATTCTTTGATGTGTAGGGAGCCAAAGTAGCTTTTCATAGCTCCAAGGCTGTAGTGCAATATTAATGCTGCTGCAGAGGCGCTGAGAGCTCTGCAGCCTTCCTTTGTGCTCCAGCTTTTATGCTGCCTCGCTTTCTTCTCTGAAGTCTTAAAGGAGCTACAGAAAGGAATGCTATTAAAGAGGTTTTAGCAATTAAAAAGAAACAAAAATGCTAAAGAGAGTCCTTTAGGGGAATTATTTTCTCGACAGCAGAGTAGGCATAAAACTGAAGCTGCATTGTCGTCCTCCGTCTCTTTCAGGACGACTTCCTGTTCGGCGTGTCCATCGTCAGCGGCCTGGTGTGCGTCGTCCTGGCCATCATCAAGTTCATGCTCGGCAAGGTGCTGACCAGCCGAGTGCTCATCACCGATGGTGAGCAAACACAGCAACAGGAAGTCGGTGCATGCCAGAGGAATTTCATATAAATGTGTAAACAAATGAAATACAAACAATAAACAAATTAAAGATGATCAGATTAGCACAGACATAAGAATGTAATGTTTCAAATTCAATCTGCTCAAGAAAGAGCAATAATAGCTTATAAGATTAAATTTGTAATTTAATGTCTTGAAATTCGACTCCTGTCTCTTTAAGAATAAAACTTAGCCTTTATAAAGTCATCGCAACATGGCTCCTCTATTGACACTTGAGCAACATTTATAGCAGCGTTTCACTGAGAAGTAGCTCCTGTAATGAGCTCAGCTGTCTAACGAGGTGTTTGCTAATTGCTGCTGGCTAGTTTGAAGGAACTGAGTGGGGACGGCGATCCGTCTTGAAGGTGGAGCTGCTCCAACCAGGCATTTTTGATGCTGAATAAATTATTTCTCAAACTTGCATAAAATAAAAATAAATCCAGGGTGGATTCATACATGGTGCTGCCACCATCGTATTTCACATTTCAAAATGTGTCAGAAGCTGAATTAAGTTTCTATTTCCGGTTTCCAGGATTTAACTCTCTGGTTGGAGGCATCATGGGGTTCTCCATCCTCATCAGTGCTGAAGTGTTCAAACATGAGCCCAAGGTGTGGTACCTGGACGGAACAGTAGGGGTCCTCATGGGCCTCATCATCCTCACCTATGGAGTCAAGTAAGTGCCAACAATGGCTCTGGTTCTGATTAAATATGTTAAAAAGTGTGTAATATTCAAAAGAACTGATGGAAAAGTAGAAATTCTCCCACTTTTTCACATTTTGTCACATTACTTTGTGCTTTAATGGGATTGTTTGTGATATAATTGTGATCATAATTTGCTCTCTCAGTAAACATTTGGATAAAACCAGAATTATTCTTCCACTGAAACACAAACAGGTTATAGTTAAAATTTTTTCATTATGTTTTTAAACCTTCCTGACTGAGAAACTGAGATGTAAAGGTACATTTTTACATTTCAAACTCGAAAGTTTTATATATATTTTTTTTGTTTGTTGTTTCTCATACAACATATCAGAACTAAATTTTAGTTCTTTTATTCAGATGATTTTCATCCACGGAAGAAAACAAATCCAGTGTTTTCCAGAGTTGCATGCTGGGATATGGAGTTTTCTCCTCAAAGTGTCGTCTCTGTCCTCCAGGCTGCTGCGGGACATGATCCCCCGGGTCAGGCAGACCACCAACTACGAGCGCTTTGAGTGACGGGTCACACAGGACACAAAGGGACAGACTGGGGACAGGAAAGACACTCTGTCCACAGAAACCCACTCATTCTTGGAGCTGAAAACGTCTCTGTCCGCCCACGACTGGACTGACAGTGACAGCAGTGACGGATGAAACCTTTCTGAACTTTTCTGTGTTTTCCAGTGTACATACAGCATATCTCACCCCGGGTCACAGTGGGTGGGCTCTCCGCTTCTTCTCGCCTTCATTCGTGTCCAGAGATTCAACTCACGGTTCCTGAAGGCCGGCGCTCTGCTGGACTGAAAAACGCTGCAGCTGATTGATGGAGCGGCTCTCGATTACCACAGTTTGACTTTTTTATGACTACAGAGAGGATGTGTCAGTGCAAAGGTCCATTTGGCAGAGGAAGCAGGTACGGTGCGATGGTGGCTCAGCTCCAGCTCTCAGCCCGGTCCAAAATGTCTTTTCTTTATTTTGACAACCCCCCCCAAAAAAATCCCATTTTACGTTAAACTTTTTGTTTCTAGAATCCAAAAATTTCAACTGAAATCTGAGTACAAAGATTCAAATATGGAGTCAAAATTATTATGAAACTTAAAGTTTTTGTCAAAGATTTCTCAACAGATCAATAATTTAAAGATCCTAATTTTTATTTAGTCCAAAAGCTACTAGTGTCTAGTTAGTTTTACCGTATTTGACTGATTGATTAGAAGCTGTGAGCATTACAGAGTAGAAGAATTTGGTTTCTATGAGCAAAGCAAACTAATATAAGCAGCCAAAATAAAAACTATGACTTGGAGATTGATTGATTTAACAGCATTTAAGACATATTTGACAAAAACTTCAAATTAGGTAGAGGGCAGTAATAATTTTGACTTCAACTTTATGTATGCGAGACAGTCGGACAAATAGAAATAAGTCAAAGTTTAATATTTTTCCTCATATTAAGCCTATGTAGTAAAGTAACTGAACAGGGTCAGTAATTTCACCCTCTACTGACCAAAAGAAGTTACTGCAACATCTACAACAAATCCATTTAAACCTGTTTAGTTTTAGTTATTTCAGCTAACTCTTTTTTAAATTTATTTATTAATCTGAAACTAACCCATCAACTTTAAAGCCTGAATAAACATCCTTCATGTTCATAATTTACTTCTTTCCTGACTGGAAATACATCATCCAAGCTATTAACTGTCTTTGGTCATAAATAAATCTGAAGCCTTAATTTTGCAGATTGTAAAAATGTAAATATTAGTAGACAGTCAGATTTGATTTGTTGGATGTGAAGGTCAGGTTACAGCAGGATATTGTTCTTTTTAGGAGCTTTCCTCATAGCTGTAAATGATTGTAAACACTGTGCTTTGATGCTAATTTGATTGTAAAATAAATCCGTCTTTTATTGCAGCATAATCTCAACATGGAAACTGTAGTTTATGCTGCAGCATTAAAACCTGGGATGAAAAGTGAAAGTTTACAAGTTTAGCTTGGTGAATTGGGGAATATGGGGAGTATTTTTTTCTTTTGCGTCCCCTCGCAGTTTTGCGACAAATATTAAATAAGTTGCATATTGGTAAATTTCCCTATTTAAAGGTTTAATAGAACAGCTTTAAATGAGATGCTTCCAGACCATTTATACTTTTTGGATGATTTTTAATTCGCCTCTTGGTGAAGACTCTAAACATCAGACAACAAATACTTTACCAGAGTATTGCACTTTTTTATTTGCAGTTGAAAAACACTAGGACATTTCAGCAAGATAGTTTTATGTAGAGGGTGAAGTCATTGGACTTTGTGCAAAAATATATAGTCCACACTAAAGGATTATAATGTTTTATGCTGCCAGCTATTCTATAAAAGCCTTGATTAATTATTAAAGTCAATTTTCAGTTGGTGTTACTGATAAATTGATCAAAAAGAAAACAATCTCATGATAAATTGTGATAAAAATAAGAGTGATTCCGGACGGTATCAGCTTTTTATTTATTCACACAAAAACGTTCTTTCTTTTTAGGAAAACATTTCAACTTAATAAAGTTAAAATAATTCAAAATAGTCTTGTTATGTTTTTCTGGGGATTCTGTTAATTCTGAAAACAACTGGTTGCACCAGGTGTATGATTTTATTTGCAAAAACCATAATGATACAACAATATATATGGCTGTAAACTGAACTGGACTTGGATGCTTCAGTTGAAATGTTTCTGTTTCATGAAGCTGCTAATTAACACCATGACAGCCTCAGACAACATATGATTCTTAGAAGGTGATTCAGTCACACAGTTATGACTCAAAGCTGCAGAACCTGGGAAAGCGGATCCCTCTTTCCTCTCCACGTCACTCCGCAGGCTGGTTTGCCAACATGGGGTTATTTTTGCCTGACGGTGTCACGCTTTGCAGCTGAATCCCAGGGTAAGAACTGCACCCCTACACTGACCCGTCCCACCACACACTCTCTCTGCCCTTGTCACACTCCCTGGCGTTCGTCCCCAGCTGATCCTCTCACAGAGCTGCCATGGGACAGAGCGGACCGCGCCGAATGGACCTGGATCAGAGTGCTGAAAACTGATACTGCTAACGAGGAGGGGAAAAAAGTCATTTTCTTTAACTGTGATATCCAAACGAGAGAGTGGGTTTTTCTTGACCATGACGGATACTGTAGCTGAGGAAGAGAAGGACCCTGACATTGAATTATTTGTTAAGGTGGGCACTTTCTATATCATTTCTGCACACGAAAAAGGGAAAAAAACACACCAAGAAATAGTTGAATTTTTGTGTATTAAAAGTAAGTTCATAGCAACTAAAACAAACGATCAACAGTGTGTTGAGTGCGGCTCCTTTAAGAGCATGCATGCCATGTTGCTGTTGTTGTTGGTGCTGATTTTCCATGTGTTAACCTGACACCGACCTGCATTTGTGTGTTGACAATCTCTTTCTTTCTCTGCCCCACTGAATTATTACTGGACTCTTTTCAGCATCGGGAGTAAAACCTTTGAATATCTTCAAAATACGACCCGGTTAATGTTAGGATCTTTTAACTTCCTGTCTGTTGCAGAGATGATAAATGTGGAGACGTTTTCAACATCAGGTCTGTTGTGGAATGTGCCTTTAAATAGTCAAATACAAATAAACATTTACTCAATCAGATAGTTATCTGAAACTCTTGTAAATGTTCTTTTATTGATGTCGAAATATGATGTTTTTTAACCTTTAGCAGCTCTTTGTTGATCACTGTAAATGTTTTGCGTAATAAAGTTGATTTTACACAAACAGATATTTTGTAACTGATTTAAATTTTCTTTAACACATTTAATGATAGGACAAAAACAGATTTCAGTGGCTAAATTGCTTAGCATGCTGCTAGTGTGTTAAAACCAGAGCTTCAAATGGGCATTGAGGCGGTTAATGGAAGCTGTGTGGATTATTCATGCTGGACCTTGGATCTCATTTCATTACAGTGTCCAGTTGCAGACACACAGACAATCCCAGCACATGTGAACTGAAGACACCTTTTACAAAATTTCCAACTTACAAATAAATTACTGTTGAATGTGTAGCAAGACAGAAATTTCCAGACAGGGCTTTGTCAAGTCAGAGATATCCAGACATTGCACTGCTCTTGAATTAACTGGACTGGATTTCAGGATTTTGACTGGTGTGTGTGTGTGTGTGTGTGTGCGTGCGTGCGTGCGTGCGTGTGTGTGTGTTTGCAGGCTGGGAGTGACGGGGAGAGCATTGGAAACTGTCCTTTCTCCCAACGTCTCTTCATGATCCTTTGGCTGAAGGGAGTCGTCTTCAACGTCACGACCGTCGATTTAAAAAGGTGAACATGTCGGTTTCTATAACGTATTTTTGGAGTTACTCATCAGAAAATCATTTGCTGACATCTGGAGCTGCCATGCGAAGCTCATGCACATCTGGAAATCCGAGAGGCGAATCTGTGACATAATTTCCTCCGATGAATTGCCAGTCACATGAGGGACTTTGATTCAAGACTTTTAATGAGTCATTAAGTGTTAGGAAATAGGTGGAAATGTCTTGTGTTGCTTCCTTTGCTGTCCAAACAATTAAATTAATTAATTGAAATTTATTTCTTCAGAGCTTGGCGCTTTGTCATATTGCATCACAAATGTTTGTGGATTCATTTGTACTTTATTTTAATTGTGTAAATTAGACCAACCCATATAAATTCAGAATAATGAAGAGGAAAGAAGATTGGATTTATTTTCTTTTACAAATAAAAATCTGAAAGTGTGATGTGCATTTTTGTCAAATGTCTTGACTAGATTGTTTGTTTTTGATCAGGAAACCAGCTGATCTTCACAACCTCGCCCCGGGAACACATCCGCCATTTCTTACCTTCGAGGGGAACGTTCTCACAGATGTCAACAAGATAGAAGAGTACCTGGAGGAGATGCTGGGTCCACCCAAGTAGGCATCACAAACTTAGACATTAAAATGGGAACAAACAGCATCCTGACTGCTAAACATCTGCCGCTCAGGTATCCCAGGCTTACAACAAAGAACCGTGAATCCAATGTTGCAGGAAACGACATCTTTGCCAGGTTCTCAGCTTACGTCAAAAACACAAGACCAGAGAAAAATCGCTGTGAGTCCAATGTTGACCCTAACAATGGTCATTAAGAATATGTAAAATCTAGTAGTTTGTTAACATCCCGTATAATGACTGGACAATTATTAATCATTCAGATAAATAGTACAATAATTTTCTGTGGCACTGAAGGTGGAACAAAGTTTGTAAATCATCTGACATTGTTACCGTTTGCTTGATGTGTTGAAGCTTTGGAGAAGAGTCTGAACAAAGCCTTGGCAAAACTGGACGAGTATTTAATGCGCCCTTTTCCTGATGAGGTTCAATCTGGACGACACAGCGGCGAAGGCCCGTCCACCCGCAAATATCTGGACGGCGATGAACTGACACTTGCTGACTGCAACCTCCTACCCAAGCTCCATGTTGTCAAGGTAAACTGCCTTCTCCGTTTATCTCCATTCCCATCCTGCTTGCTTTAATTATTTGCTTTTGACAGGTGGTTGCAAAGAAATACAGAAACTATGACATCCCTTCTGAATTAAAAGGGGTGTGGCGTTACCTCGACAATGCCTACAAGCGAGACGAGTTCACCAACACATGTGCAGCAGATGTGGAGATCGAACTGGCCTACCAGGCTGTGGCCAAGAGGTTGGAAAAATGAAGCAGCAACTAATAACTTCCAGTTCTAAAGAATATTACATCTGCTGCTTAAATGTGATTTGACATTTTCATGACTTACTTGTAAATATATCTCAATCTAGTAGTTTCTCTGAGTCAAAACATGTATTAAAACAAGAACTAAAGAACTTAGCATATTCACCACAGATGAAGCTAATGAAAACAATTATTTTCAAATAGCATACAGAACAGAAGCATTATTAGCTATCTTGCTAAAGCTAACATAACTTTAGCATTTAAGCTGAGTGGATAGACAAGAATAAATATTATTTTTAAGCAATTTTCAAAAATCCCCCAGATATTTTGTTGCATTAACGTATTATTATTTAATTTCCCTTTTTGGGATCACTAAAGTATTTTTGAATTTTAATTTGAAATATTTTCTAAATGCCAGAATAATTGTATATAATATTTTTTTCAAGCGTTCACTAGTGAGGGCGTGGTGCGCCTCACAAAATACACGGTATCATAAGAAAAGAAGATTATGTGGATCATTTCCTGCAGAAATATGTGTGGAGTGTTCACTTGTTTGGTGATCCAGTGCAACAGTAAATGTGGCAAAGTGCTAAATATTTTAAAAATCTTTTATCAAAATTATCGTGAGCGTAAGCTTTTTGTTCCCCTGAAACCATTTGATCAGAAGTTTATTAGTCACTTTAGGAAACAAGATCAGTGAAAACATCATTATCTCCTTGCAGAACCTGATAGCTTTAAGTAACTTATTAGCAGGCTTGCTTCCTTTATTGCGTGATAATGCAAATAAAAAATATGTGTTTAAGCCAAAGTAGTTGAAGCTATGGTAGCTTTGCGAACCTATTGCATGTCCTTTACCCCATTTTCCATGTCGTTAGAACCATTTACTACAGTTACAGCTCTTACTGATACTCTTATCTCAAAATGTCAGATGGACTTTCATCATTGTCTATCACCATTCTGAAGCAACAACCACACTGTTAATCTATTTAAAAAAAGAGGAAGAAGATTATAAAATGAAGCTATTGAACATACTCTGTCTTGTCATTTAAACAGATTTAGCATTTTTGATGTATTCTGATCTCAAGTGCCTTAGTGGGAAACAAGCTCACCTCTCCTGTACCTTCAGCTTTTTATATCTGTACAGTACATTGTGTTTTTCATTTATTCAGAATTTTTCCACATTGGATTTATCATAATCTATAGAGCTGTGTGAGGACTGAATAAACTACGGGGTATAGCTTAACGTTTTTAAATAGAGATTATATATATATACACATCATGAGCTTCTTCATGATCTTTCTAATGATTAGAATTGTGAACCTACTGTGTTTACTGTTATCCTTATTTGGGTAATAAAACCATGTTCTCAGACTGGGCATGAGATTTGTTTTTTATTATTATTATTAGTGTGTTATGTAGATAACAAGTGAGAGTTAAAGAGTAACAGAGAGAGAAAGTTTGTATAGACTTCGTCAGCAGTTACACATTTCCACTTTATTTTTATTTTTCAACTTACACTTACAAAACATATCTTTTAATGTGTTTTGTAAGGTGGAATAAAATAATCACCTTATTTTATTTTAGGTGATTTGCTGAGTCACAAGTTCTGTGAACCATAATGAGAAATAACAAAGACCGGTGCCGTAAAATGTGACAGCATTGTTTATTGTCCAACAACCAGCAGTACCGGCAGATGACCAGCAGATGGCAGTGAACACAAAGTGTTTGACTTTCGCTGCATAAACTCCATTCGGGATCGTCTTGCATTTCTATGTCAAAAAAACCCCCACAATCTCGCTTTGTTACGTCTTTAAGGTCTATGCTGTACATTTTATGACTTTAGAAAATAATTTATTTAAAACGAATTAAAAATAATACATTTAAAAATACATTTCAAAATTTTGTCAGTTTTTCAGTTGATGTTACTTTCACATTGTTAAAATATTATGCATTTCAAAATCCAAATATTTTTTGTTATTCCTGTTAAGTTAAAATCAATGTCAACAATAGCATGATGTAAGCTAATGAAAGCATTTATGTTTGATACATAAATCAAAAATCTGAATGTTTAAAGGGCCAGTTACGCCATAAAGTATTGATAAGCTGTTAAAATATCAATAAATAGCTGTTTGTTTCATCATTCAGTAAGCATTTCTTTAAATTAAAAAATACTGAACATCTTTTCACACTGGTCAGGATTTTTGAGCATTGAGTTGGACACGTGTGGAGCGTCCTATCGTGTTTTACGTTTTTTGGGGAGGGTGATAAAACTCAGACGGTGCCTAACTCTATGATTGGGGCAGAGTGAACCCGGGTGGGAGGGGCACCAGTACGCCGAGCCTGCCTGGGATCCAATCTCCCCAGATCGCTCAGCACGCAGGGACGCGTTCACCCTGTTCCTCTCTGATCTTTTAACTCTCCCTCCTTCCTTTCCAGCAACACCAAATCGGTTGTGGATGGATTTACTTCAAAGGTAAGCTTGTTTTGTCAGCTGAAAGCCGTGGCGGGCATTGTTGTGGGCTCTTTTTGCCCCGGCTGCTGCTGGTGTTAAAGGAGGCGCAGTGTTTTAGCCGCGCACTTGAGCTCGGGAGTGGGCGACTTGTCATTGCGGTGATGCGTGTTTTGTTGTTGGTCTCCCGAGACGATCAAAACAGCAAGCCTGCTGTAGCTGGAACCCCGATCAGCTCAAATTTGTGGCGTAAATGAGGGGAAATGATGCGGTAAAGCGAACAAAGTAGCTAACGGTTATTTAGCCATTTATGGAACGAGGACGTAAGTCGCCGCGCGAGCTTGGGGTCCCATTGTCAGCTAGCTTAACATCAAACTACAATATGGTTAAAAACACTGACAACGCAGGGGACAGAGTGTTTCATCAAAACTGAAAACACGGACTGTTTTCACACCAGCAGTCTAATTCACAAGTGCTGGAAGTGGTTTCAGCCCAGCTTCACCTGTGTTTGACAGGTTTTCAACTCACTGGTGGAGAGGGGATCATTTACATGTCGCTGTGCCTGAAAAGCGACCTTCCTGTCCCCTTATCGTTGCTTACTTCCTTGTGTGCTTGGAGGACTCTGAACAAGCAGCAGCCGGTTCGCCTGGTTCTGAGTCGATGTTGCCTTTTCTTCATTGTTTGGAAATCAAGTCGTTGGATTTGTCTCAGAGCCGGCCCAAGGCTTAAGCGAACTTTGCTGCTGTTTTGATACATAGAAAAATTCTATCTAAATAAATAAATTTCACACTTTTTACTATTTTCTTTTTAGTTAGCATTCTGGCCTTAAAAATTGTTAAAACACCAAAAATGTGATTTGAAATAAACATTTCATGTTAAAAAGATTCACTGATATGGAAATTATTTTTGGTGCCAATCTCAAATAGTAATATTTATTATTAAACACTGATTTAAATGTAAATTGTGATAGCATTTTAAACTAGCTTTAAAAAGATTTGCCTCTTTGAAGATTGACTTATTTCATATTTTTTGGAAGGTTGCATTTTATTTTTGGACTTTTGCATCTTGGGGATACATTTGCCAGGGAGTTCGGTGATTATGTTAATTTTGTCCATTTGAGAACAAGCAAGCCTAATTAGTAAAAGAACTCTCCTTCAAAGGTGCAGTAACTGTGTCAGATTAAGTAATTTGGCTCATTGCAGAAGCACTTTGCAAACCAGTTCAGCCATGTTTGTATCTTTTTGTAATCAGGATGACATAATGAGTTGTTTATATGACATTATGATGGAGGATCTTTAAGCTATTTGCATTGTTTAATGCGAGATCCTTGACTGTATACATTGCAGACTAATAGTGACCGTCCAGAGGTGAGCCTTGGACTGACCCGACTTTATAAAGAGCTCTTTCAGCTGCTATTTTTTTTTATTTGCTGGGGCCTTGGGATTATAAATCCTGCAGCAAAGGAGCTTTGCTTCGGTGGCATGCTTCACTGGCAAGGAATCGTTTGAGGGGTGTTGGTGCGAGAGGGGTGGGCTCTGGTTGAGAGCCAGCGGAGGGTTTGAAGACGGAGGGGAGCTGAGCTGTGGTGACGGAAAGTGAACGCGTTTGGCTCCCTGTGATTAAAGGGCTCCTGTTCTCTCTCCCTGAACAAGCGAACACATTCACGCACAGGCAACACCTGTCTTTTCTTAAAGCGAAACAGTTCTGTATTTCCAAAACAAACATCTCCTCTATAAGGGATTTTAATTTTAGTGCAAAGTTTCAGATTGTGTAGACGGGATACTGAGAGATCAAATCAGGAGGGAAAATTTGGGGCACATGCTCTCCCAACATCCAACTCTTGTGGGTGTTTTTTCCATCGTCTGGTATGCATTTCACTTTTCTGAGAGTCGGTCTAAAGTTGAAAGTTGATTAAGCATTACCAGATGTTGGCATAATATAAATCCGTCTATTGTTTTTTCAGTACAATCTCACCAAAAAATCCAACTTTTAATTTGAGTACAGTGTGGAAAAGATGCTAAAATTGGACCTAATTTCCTTTCATTTTGGGCAACCATGCTATTTTGCGGTACTTTGTGATAATAATAAAAGTGATGAGAGCTGTTACTACTCTTTTAGGGAACAGTAAGGCTGTGACTGTCAAAAAAATGACTACAAAATCATCTGGTTTTGAAATTTGCAATACATTCAAATGAAGTATTTTGATCATATCTTGAGATTTAATTATATTTATTGAACAGAGAGTGGGAAAAAATCCATTTATGTCAGAATTGTGGTGATTTTTAAGCCACTTCCTGAATTCTAAAGAAAATAATTACCTGTCTAAACAAAGTTCCTCATGCTGCCGAGGATGCTGAGCAAAAGGAAGTGAAAATAATCAACAAAGATTATTGATGGAGCATCATGTGTCTCCACAGCAACCATTCGATGCCATCGACATGCCTGGACTGTCACAAATGTTACTTCATTGGGAATTTAATTGGAAATGTCTTCAGATGAAAAATGAACTTTAAAGATCAACAATAAATGTAGGATTTTGAATTAAAGGTTGGATTTTTTGTTTCAAATTCAAAAGTAAAATTATTATATTTTTTGATCATATTTTGGTCAGTAAATTTGTGTATTATGAGGTGGATTTGCTTTCCGCACCCACTCTATAAGTTCTCTTTTGCATTTTGACCGACTGATTTGCACTTTACCGTCATTGTGCGGCTAGTTGCTGTAAAGCAGGTCCAACAACTTCTTTCTCACGCCTTTGCCGCAAAACCAGCACCCAGCTGCTCGTCTTTCCTTCCTCCCAACCTCATTTTTCATGACGTCTTTGTATTTCTTCATGATTCTGGGTCATTGAAAGTTAACCTTAAAAGTGTCTGCTGTAATCTAAAGGTTAAAGTTTGAATTATGTTTCAGATAATTACCTACAAGTTGCTCCTGCTCCAAAATTCCCCACGATTACACTCTAATAGGAAAGAAGAGGATTCTGATTAAACAGTAATGTCTGTCGCTCTAATGATTCTTGTTTGAAAATATTTGCTGTATTTTTAATAATTTCATTTTTTCTCTGTTACATTTAAAAGATTTATAGGATTTGAATCTGTATTAAGAATGAGGAGCACAGGAAGGATTTGTTTGCTTTTAGGAGGAGTGTTTAGTATTAGGCCCAAAGTGCAGGGTTTAGCGATTTAGTGTAGTGAAGGAAAAGCCTCGCTGGCCTTTTCGGTATCTATGTTTGTACTGTTGCATAACAGCCCCCTACCCCTAAATGCTGTCCTTAATTTATAGAATAGCCACGTCAGCTACAAATCATTTGCTGTAATGTGTTGAGACGTCTCGTGTTATTGGAACAGCAAAACCTTGTGTGGTGGTGACAGGAAAAGGGGGGGTAGATGTTGTGGCTCATCTGCAGGTCTGTGACATGCTTTGTGTTTGAGCTTGTTGTGAACATGCAGGTTCTGTTCTGGGTGGTCTCAGCTTTGCATGTCCAGTTGTGTCTGGTTCGGCTTGTTAGTCTAAAGATTACTTATTTTTGTAGCACTGATGATCCAGAGGTATTTCATCACTTGAAACTACTCATATTTTACATAAATTTCTGTTAAAAACTTAATTTTCACAAGATAATTGTAAAATTGGAAATCCTGGTGGTGATGATTAAGACTACAAACTATCAAAAACCAGTGTTAGCATCATGCTAATTATACTGTTTAATTATACTGGAGCAATGAAAAGGAAGATTACCTCCAGAGCCTTTCACTTTTCCTCAAAGATCAAATGGTTAAGCAATTCTTAATCTGATGGGGCCACAAGTAAAGCCTGGTGGCCCGCCAGGCTTATAATACACTGGGGATAATCATCCAGAATTATGCCACAATGTTTTCATTCCTGTGAGAAACCACACACCTTACTGGCGAGAGTCTATGAATATATTTG